GATTCTTCAACAACCTCGAAGCCTCCTCGACAACCTTTCTCACAAGTACCCCTTCATTCCTGCCAATTGACAAATTAAATGGAATTAAGCTTGGAGTAGTATGAGCATTTCCAGTATTAGAATCAAATTAGGGTTTCGGTGGGAGTGATGAAAGTAAGTACCCATTGGCGATTCCTTCCGATTCCCATCCTCTGTAGGACCCCACCACCCTGAGAGCTCGCTCCCATCGCTCATAAGTAATTCCGCCTTCCAGATCCTCATGTTGAAGCATGTCATTTCGAAAACTACGCGATACGTTTCGCACTTGCGAGGCCCTCACTTTATAGAAGATGGGCAATATCTTTTGCCCCTTTGTCCTATTGCATTCTACCATTTGAGTTAGCCCCTTGAGGCACCAACTAGAGGAGGCAAAACTTTCTGAGAGAATTGGAATGTATATCTGGCAATGCGCGATGGCATTCCAAAACGCACCAGCAATATCTTTACCTACGAGGGATGGATCATCATGGATAAACACTTTGATTCCCGCAGCCACAAGGCTGATGTAAAGGTGAGCAGCCAAGCCGTTTTGAACATCATGGCCACAAAAGGCCAAGAATACTTGCCATTTACTCTTCTCCGAAAAGTAAAGATATACTGCGATCCAGCAAGATAAACCATGATAAGATGTAGCCAATATGGATCATACAAAAATTTCAAAGACCAAGATAACTTTAAAAGGCCACAAAATCAGTCTAGGTCATAAAACCATGCGAACCTTACATGCCTTCTCTATGTGGCAATTGTAGGGAGGCCAAAGCTCTCACACGATGAACACACAGAGGACTCGCTCGACTCAGATGGAATTGGAAGATACCTGATCCCATGAACATGGGGAGCCTTTCGATCCACATCGTGTTCAATTCACTCAAGACCTTTTCGCGCACCATTTCCACCAGCTCTGCTTCATGCCTGCCCACGTGTACATGTGTAAAACCAAAGTTAGGCTAATAGTTTAATTCCTTCCAAGTGCACAGGGGTTCGGATTCAGAGTTGTGATGGAGGTAGATTCGTAGACTCGTAAATACAAACATACATAACTATATACATACGGTCATACCCATCAGCAATGGTCTGTGAAATCCATCCTCTAATCGTCGCTACAGAAGTCAGCGCTTCCCGCCAGTCTTGCACTTCTGAGCCGAACCGCCCCTCATGTCCACGTAGAGCCTCTTCAAAGTTACCGCGTGGGCCACCTACATCAACAACATCCACCCTATAGAATACAGGGAAAACTGATCTGCCATGCTCTCTGTGGCAATCCATAATCTTGGTGAGCTCACGGAGGCACCATTTACTCTGCGCATACTGTTCAGAGATGATGGGGATTGCAATCCCACAACCCTTGATAGCCCGGAGAAGCTGCGGGCCAATCTCCTCGCCGACCTGGACCGCGTTGATGTCCCTAAACACTCGGACCCCAGAATTTTTCAGACTATTGTAGAGGAAATCGGTGAAGCCGGTGCGAGTGTCTTTGCCGCTGAAGCTCAAGAACACGTCGTAGATCTGAGGGACTGCGTTTCTTTTCTTCTGCAGGAATCCGTAAGCGTACACGGACAGAAAGGCAAGGGGTAGAGCAATTACTAAGCTATTCATATTCATCTATGTTCTTCGGTTTTCTTTTCTACCCAAGACTTGATGCTTTCGAGAATCAGAAAGTCGTTGCTTTTGTTTACCCACCACATATCCCTGGGGCCTTTGCGTGAAAACATCGTCTAAATTGCAGTTCGTGTTCTTGACTCTCTAAAGTGTGAATAGTGTTATTACTCTTCCACTAAAATTTGTGGCTTCTCATAATTCGACTCGTTATATTTATTTATCCTAATCGTTTTGTTAAAAAGAAAATAACACCGATTTATGATATAAAAAGTAAATGTTCGCATCAATTTCGAAAATCATTCTCTAACTTTATTAATAGTGCATCTGCGTCATTATGTGTGATGGCATCCTTCTTCTTAGGTGGAGAGAGATATATAAAAAGTAAATGTTTGCATCAATTTCAAAAAGGGATAAGTATACTTGAAATTCTAAAATTTGTCATGAAATTGTAATTAAATCTTAAAACTTTCAAAAAGTGCAATCAAATTCTAAAACTAGTCACAAATTGCAATTGAGTCATAAAACTTTCATAAAGTGCAATTAACTTTTAAAACTTGTCAAGTTGGTACAATCAAGTCTTAAAACTTTTCGACCAAAAAAAAATCTCAAAACTTGTTAGCATTTTCCTTTTGTCAAGTTGGGCAGAGTTAATGGAAAGAATTGACTACACCAACTTGATAAGTTTTACAACTTAATTACACTTTTTGAAAGTTTGAAAACTAAATTGCACTTTTGTGATTGGTTTTAGGACTTGATTGCACTTTTTGAAAGTTTTAGGATTCAATTGCACTTTCGTGACAAGTTTTACGACTTTCAATACATTTATCTCTTTCTAAAAATATCCTAAGCTAGACTAAAATCATCCTTCCCGCATTTCCTTTGTTTTGTAATGACTAGAATCCAAGCGCGAACAACAAACCAAATCTTATCACAGTAAATGGAGTTGGTTATATAAATATCAATACGTAATCATCATCGGACAAATGTTTTCGATAGTTTCCTTTCACGACCTTTTAAGTACTTCTCAATCCCTTTTAATACAGTGTACACAACTTACTCACATCCTCAATAAAGCATTCGAAAATCTTCAATTTAACATGATCAACTCACCTTGACCAACACTCTCTCATCTGATCCTCCATTTGTATGACACCTACTTTTTTTTCCGGATAGATCCATTTGCAATTTTTTTTTCTTTTTTTGTATATTCACAAATCAAATGAAGCATTCTCATCTCCATCGTCTACACTGATTTTATGCACATGTCGATATTTATTTGTCTCGGAGTCTGTGACATAAGACTTCATTGGTCTTATTGTCATCCTATATAATCTTACCTTAAGCTAATTTAGTTGCATTTCAGTGTCGCTCAAGGCCCCAACCACATCTCCACTTCACTCATCCTATCTGAAATTCATGGGTGAGATCTCCATCGATTTTCCCTTCTCTTTTTGGAAAAATAAATTCGAGATATTAAAAACATTCACTGCTTGATATTCCATGTTCCTACTTAGGTGTCATTTAAATTTTCTACTCTTATCAACCTCATTAATCATTTGTCTCCTGCCCAAGAAAAAGTCATTCGACCCTATCCAAAAGGGGTCCGGCGCATTTGTATTCTGTCTAGTCCATCTTGATTGAAACGTGGGTTTTTATAAACATTAAATGTTAAACCCTCTTTGGAAAAAAGAAAAGTTTAAACCCCTCAAAAAAACTCAGGAAGAACCGCCCGGAGAATTTCTGCGTCCTTCACAGCACATTCAATCCTCCCTCTCTTTTCGACCAAAAAAAAAAAAAATCCTCCCTCAGCAGCTGCTCTTTTCGGTAAGTTTCTCCTTTTATTTTGTTTTCCCTCAATTTCTTCATGCCCTTTCACGAATTATACTCCTTGGACCGAGATTGAAGAATGGGCCGCTGTTTACTGTTCAGAATCTGAGCGCAAATAGGAGGGTATTGGGCCTATGGAGAAACGAGCAAAAAGTTGGAAACTTTGTGGTTAAAGCATGTCCAAAGAAGATATCTTTTGACAAGGAATGCAGAGAGGGTATTCAATCTGGGATTGATAAATTGGCTGATGCTGTTTCTGTTACCATAGGACCTAGAGGTGTGTGGATTCTTTTATTCTTCTGAAGTTCCTGTCATTTTAGTCTTGGAATTATTTGCTTAGTTGACGATTTATAATTAATGGGGGTTGAACTGGAATTGGATTAATGTAGTGGCCGCTTGGACAGAGTGAGAGCTATTGTACTTTGCTTATTAAAAATGACGGAGCTGGCTGGTCTAGTTTTGTGCAAGTTTGGAGTAGGGTTTTCTTGAAGGCGTACGTGCAGGGCTGTGCTCGTTTAGTTTGAGTTTTGCGTATGAACTTTTCCTTTTGGATGTTGCAAACTTTTTATCCCAAGTTCCAAGCCCACTGACGTGTCTTGCTTTCCTGATTTTTTTTTTGGTCGAATTGCCTTCCGGATACCATTGGTGTTCGTTTCCTCATTTTCGCTTTTGTTGCTTCAGTCCTTGTCCTTCACAATGGCCTTGAAGTATAGGTGACTTCGTCAAGTACAATAGTATTTACTGACATGCCATTTATGTAATTCCTGCTTGTAATGAGTGGGAAGATGGTTCCGGATTATCTTTCTTCTGAAATTTATTGAAGAAGAGAAATCCTAGTGGCTTGTCGTATTCCATCAGAGAACTAATTCGCGATCAAGTAGTCCTATCTGCGTATCCAAAGAAAAAAGCACAATCGAATATTATAGAAATTCATGCGAACAAACATTCACAACTTTTGCGACAAGTCACATTGAGATCGACATGCTAAAACCTTGAACAGATCTAATTGTCACCTTCTCCCTTCCTACGAAAAGCCCCTAATCAGATTTTAGTTTTAAGATAGAGGAAAAAGCTAAAAAAAGAGATGGTCTCTTCCAGTGATCGACCACATTGTAGTGTATTTCAAGGTATGTGAATGCAAATTGCAACTGTTTTCCCATTTTGATTTTCTCGACTTATTTTATGTGGGAACGAGCTGCATTTTCGACTAGTTATATCAAGGAAGATATACTAGATTTGATTAGAAGGCAATTGTATTTCGGGAGATCACATTTTACTTCAACTCAATAGCAAACCCTTTATGGTACATTGAGACAACTAATTAACTTGACTGGAGTTTTTATTGTTTGGACTGAGTCACATATGGATACAAACACGACACGCATATTAAACAGATCAGACAACATAACACGCGTAACGTGCATCTCAACAGCTAAAGAATTCCTCGCCAACCTTCAACAAAACGATTGACTGTCAAGGAAAATCACCTTGTCGAATGCTAAGAACGAACCGTTACTAGCAACAAGATTGAGTCATCATTCAATGGAAGGGGACGGTGGATCAAGTGTTTGGGGACTCTTCAACAAGCCCGAAACCTTCTCGACCACCTGCTTCACAAGTACTCCTTCATGCCTGCCAATTGCCAAATAAAATTGAAATAAGCTCCGAGTAGTATAAGAAGTTTTGAATAACATGATCAAAAAATTAAGGTTTGGGTGAGAATGATAAAAGAAAGTACCCATTGTCGATTTTGTCCGATTCCCATCCTTTCGAGGACCCAACCTCCCTGAGAGCTCGCTCCCACCGCTCATAAGTACTTTTGTCGACCAGCTCCTTATGCCGAAGCATGTACTCTCCAAACAAATGCGATAAGTCTTGCACGTGCGAGGCCTTCACTTTATAGAAAATGGGCAATATCTTTTGCCCCTTTGTTCTGTTGCATTCAACCATCTGAGCTAGGTCCTCGAGGCACCAAGGAGAGGAGGCATAATTTTTAGAGAGAATCGGAATGGATATCTTGCATTGGTCGATGGCATTGGAAATCTCGTGAGTAACATCTTTACCTATGAGGCATGGATCATCATCGTTAAACACTCTGACTCCTGCAGCCACAAGGCTCGTGTAGAGGTAAGCAGCAAGGTTGTATCGAGTATCAGGGCCACGAAAGGCCAAGAAGACTTGGCATTTACTTTCTCTTCTTTTCTTTTTCGAAAAGTAAAGATACACTGTGACATAACAAGAAAAACCAGAGTGACGATGTTAAGGTGTAGCCATTAGGATTCACTAAAAAAAATTCCAAAAGACCAAACTAAATCCCCAAAGTCGGTCATAAACCGGGGGAACCTTACATGCCTTCTCTATGTGGGCATCGAAGGAGGCCAAACTCTCACATGAGGAAACATAGAGAATACCAGATCGTCGCTAGTCGGCTGGCAAAATGCGCACATAACAGATAGAATCTTAAAATGAAATCTCCTATTCGAGGCGTGAAGCGGCTTATATGGATACTTTCCATTTTCCACAGATTCATTCTTTCCATCTTTTCCCCTGCTCTATAGGAATTTTCCACATAGAATCTTTGATCACTGCCTAGGCCGAGGACCCTGTTCTGCTTAGTGCTTACTACAGTTAGGGTAGCACCTATTTTTTGTTTTGTTTTTTCAGGGCAGACCACCGCTCATATTGAAGATGCTCGACTCAAATGGAATTGGGAGATACCTGATCTTATGAACATAGGGATCGACATCCTGTTCAATTCACTCGAAACCTTTGCGACCACCTTTTTCACCAGCTTTCCTTCATGCCTGCCCAGATATATATATGCGTAAAACCAAGATTAGGCGCACAGTTTGATCTGTATTCCTTCCTTCCCCTAACTCTGGTTTTCTGGATCAGGTCATTTCCATACAAATGCACAGGGATTCGGACTCAGATTTGTGAGGGATACAGATTCGTAGATTCTGAAATAAATAGATAAATACATACACACATACCCCTTAGCCATGGCCGGTGATATCCATCCTCTAATCTTCGTTACAGACATCAGCGCTTCCATCCATTCTCGCACTTCTTCTGTGCTGCACTCCCTCTCGTGTTCAAATAGTGCCTGTTCGAAGTTACCCCGCCGGCGTCCTATATCAAGGACCTCCACCTTATAGAATACAGGGAAGACCGACTTCCCCTGCTTTCTGTGGCAATCCATAATCTTGGTGAGCTCGCAGAGGCACCATTTGCTCTGCGCATACTGTTCGGAGATGATGGGGATCGCGATCTTGATGTCCCTGAGAAGCCCCGGGCTAATCTGCTCGTCGATCGGAAGTGCGTCGTCGCCCTTGAACACGTGGATGCCATCAGCTAACAGGCTGTTGTAGAGGAAATCGGCGAAGCCGCTGGCAGTGTCTCCGCCACCGAAGCTCAAGAACACGTCGTAGGTGGTATACATTTTCCTCTTTTGTTTTTATTTGTCGTTTTTTTCCTCTCCTGTCACACGTCGCCGATATTTATACCCGCGTTTGCTTTCGAGACTCAAAAAAGTCATTGCTTTAGTTTGCCCACCGCATCTCCTAAGCGCCTCCGCGTGAAAACTTTTCGACTAAACTGCTCCTCTTTATTGTTTTTTAACTCTCTGTCTATTACTACAAATGACTTCCAGATACTCACTCCATCTTATATATTTGTAAGTGACTTCGAACAAGTAAGATCGCTATCCCCATCATCTCCGAACAGCATGCGTGAGGACTTCGACGAAATTACCCCTCTTTTGTTTTTCAGATCGTCTTCTTGACTATTCAAAGGATGAATAGGGGCCCTATCCCACCTGCGCATGGCCGAGTTGGTGGGCGCTTTCCTTCCTTTCTCAAGAGATTCTGGGTTCGAATCCCCGCTCGGTTCCGTAATTTAAGTGGGGGCCCTAGCGGTGGGTTGCTGGGCTAGTCTCCCCCAAGGTATAGGCGCCCCCGATTACCTGTGCGGGCTCGTCCCCGAGAAATGGTGGCGGATCTTCGATTACCAAAAAAAAATAAAAAATAGGGGACCTATATATCAATATTGATCTATTATTAATTTTGTGTTACCTATCCATTTTCTTTGCTCGATCTACTTTTCTTGACCATGTATTGGAAATTCAAATGCATTTCTTTGTGGAAATGTCATTTTTCTCGTCTAAATTTTACTTTCATCTATTTCCCACCCATCGTGGCTAAGCTTCATTATTTGACGTTTCCTTTTGTCCCCTCCAGCTCTGAGCTCATATATTTATTACCCACATAACATCGTGAGATCTTTATACGGCGGTGCTTTGAAGACTCAAAAAGTCATTATTTTGGTTTACCCACCCCACATCCCAAGGGCCTCCACGTGAAAATTTTTACTAAATTGCTCCGCTGTTGTTTTTTTAAGTGTATTGACAGTCCTAAAATTTATTATGAAAATACAATTAAGTCCAAAAAATTTTAGAATGTGCAATCAAGTCCATGCATTAACTCCGTTTAACTCGACAAATGGAAAATACTATGAATTTTTTGTATTTGATTGCACAAATTTGACAATTTTTAGGGATTTGATTGTACTTTTTGAAAGTTTTAGGTCTCAATTACACTTTCGTGACAAGATTTATGACTTTTGGTGAACTTATCTCTTGTTTTTTTGTTCGTCTTCTATTATATACATTATTCGTATTTTTTATTCTTCATGTAAGTTCATATATATATATATATATATATATATATATGTGTGTGTGTGTGTGTGTGTGTGTGTGTATTTTTTATTGCGATTGTTTAATTCATTATATATGTTATTCATTTTCTCCGTTACTTCACGTAAATAGATATATATTTGTCTTTTTTATTGCGATTGTTAAACTCATTATATATATTATTCATTTTCTCGATTACTTCACTAAGTTATAGATAGGGAAGTAGCCCTTTCAAGATTCAAAAACGCCAGTTTTCTTGCCCACCGCACATTTCAAGGGAATCCGCGTGAAGATTTGACTAAATTGCCCATCAATTGTTTTTCAAATCGTCTTCTCAACTATTCAAAGCATGAGTGGGGGCCCTATTATTAATAATGATCTATTATTAATTTTGTGTTACCTATCCATTTTCTTTGCTTGATCTACTTTTCTTGACCATGTATTTTTCAATTAAGTCCAAAAAATTTTAGAATGTGCAATTAAGTCCATTCATTAACTCCGTCAAACTCGACAAACGGAAAATGCTATCAATTTTTTGGACTTGATTACACCAACTTGATAAGTTTTAGGGATTTGATTACACTTTTTGAAAGTTTTATGTCTTAATTGTACTTTTGTGATAAGTTTTATGACTTTCGGTGAACTTATCTCTTGTTTTTTTGTTCGTCTTCTATTATATACATTATTCGTATTTTTTATTCTTCACGTAAGCTCATATAGATATATATTTGTGTTTTTCATTGCGATTGTTTAATTCATTATATATATTATTCATTTTCTCCATTACTTCACGTAAGTTCATATTAGATATATTTGTCTTTTTTATTGCGATTGTTTAATTCATTATATATATTATTCATTTTCTCCATTACTTCACGTAAGTTCATATTAGATATATTTGTCTTTTTTATTGCGATTGTTTAATTCATTATATATATTATTCGTTTTCTCGATTACTTCACGTAAGTTATAGATAGGTAAGTAGCCCTTTCAAGACTCGAAAACGCCAGTTTTCTTGTTTGCCCACCGCACCTTTCAAGGGAATCCGCGTGAAGATTCCACTAAATTGCCCATCTATTGTTTTTCAAATCGTCTTCTTGACTATTCAAAGCATGAATAGGGGCCCTATTATTAATAATGATCTATTATTAATTTTGTGTTACCTAACCATTTTCTTTACTTGATCTACTTTTCTTGACCATGTATTGGAAATTAAAATGCATTTCATTGTGGAAATGTCCCTTTTCATATGAATTTTACTTTCATCTATTTACAACTCATCGTGGCTGAACTCTATTGTTGAGATCTCCGTCGATTTCTCCTTTTTGTTTGACAAAATAAATTTCAAATATCAAAAATATTTACTCCTTAAATCTCCATATTTTGACTCGTTTAAACTTCTACTCTTGTCGACCTTACTCATTATATATTTTGCCGAAAACCTGTCGGTTCTAAAGTTCTTTTCCAAAATTCGAGTCTTCTTAAACATCTTCAATATATGAATATTTTACAGTAGCATACATAAGATCTATACAAATTATTTTTAGTTATGCTTATCTATAGGTATGACAAGTGTTTCTCTAACGCTTTTCTGGCAGTACACTTACAAAGTTACACATATCTAAAATGCATTTAGGTTCAATTTGACATGGTCTATTTACTTGTTCCTACTGTTCAAATTAGCCTTGTTGGACACAAAAAATTATTACTAATTAGACAAGCTCTACTAATTGATTCTATAGCATGTCGTGAAAAACAGTTTTGGTAAAATATGTCAGCACGTAGCTTTTGCACTCATAAAAGTAGTTACAATCTGTATGTTCATGGCATAATAGTGTGATGCCACAGATAATCGTATCACAACTGAAATCCAAAGATGTCATTGATTTTAAGCATGTAACAAGACTTGTTTGACTAGTTTTCAAAATAGATTCTCGTATATGAATTTGTGAAAATTTTTGTACGTACATCAATATGTAAATGTATATGATGTATCGTGTTCATATCAATGACATGTTAACCCTTTTCACATCATATAATTTAAACAATTTGTGAAAAGGTGGAGAAAGTTCAAAAAGAAGAGAGACAACGAGTGCTGAAAACTAGAATTCTGATGTTGGTCTTCCCAGGACAACCAAGGTTGCACTGGTAAAAATGCTCAGTTAGACTGTAATTTCGGCTCCGAGAGTCGGATGATTTATCAGTTTTCTTGTCAATAATATATGTTTAGGCAAGAATTTTCAAGAATATCAGTACAATTCTGGCGAATTTTGTTTTTCTTTTTATGTTATTGATCTATGTAGAGTGGTACAAGAATGCTCTTTTGGAGAAAAATTCCTCACAACAAAGGATATAAAATTGTCTGGTCAGTTAATCCTCAACCGACCACAGTCTAGATTTACGTTTTTTGCGTTATATTCAGATCATGGACTGATTCTACCATTATGACCAAATTGGTTTATCCAGTTTCACTTCACTTCAGGGCGCGATGTTGTCCTCTCCGAGTCCGAAACTCTGAAAGTCATAAATGATGGTATCACAATTGACCAAGCGATAGAATTTCAGATGCAATCAAGAATGCCGGGGGAAATGTTAGCCCAAGAGGTCATTCATGGTTGATAGTTACTTCTCTCCCAGAAGCTTTCTCTCATACTTATACTCTTCAAATTCTTTTTTGCGCTCAAATGTATGTACTTCCAGGTAGCCGGCCGCATGAATGACTTGGCTGGTGATGGCACAACCACCGCAATCGAGCAAAGATCAAATCTGGGTTGTTGGCAGTTTCATTTGGGGCTAATCCTATAGCTATAAAAAAGGAATGGATAAGATTGTAAAAGAATTGGTCAGGTTTTTGAAGGAAAAGAGCTTTCCTGTAAGCGGGAGTGATCGTATTATAGGATACTGATTGAATTTCTTTTGGTGCATTGTCCGAAAAGCGAGCTATTCATGATGAAAATTTTAAATTTCTCAAGCATTGCTGTTGTGGCGTCAATCTCTGCTGGAAACGATGACTTTGTGGGAAGAATAATAGCTGATGCTATAGAAAGTATTACGACCTGACAGAGTAATCTCTATCGAGTCATCCTCATCTTCTGAAACATTTTTTTAGTCGAAGAAGGAATGAAGGTGGTGAATTTTGCTTTAGGTTTGAAATAACTTGGAGTTGGACGATTGTTTCCTAGCAAAATGTAGAAAGAGTGATATTCATTTCTTATGCTCTTTCGCAAGCTCTGCATCTTCTAAACTCTTTCTCCTATGGGATAAAGTTTCTAATTCCATGCATCAACAGATCCCGAGCTTATTGAATGCATACCAATCTTTCATTAAGCAATTCCCCTTCATATGATTCTTCAAGTTAGGTTTTTGTCTGCCAGATTGATAAGGCCTATACGTCGCTCAATTTCATCAGAAATCCATATAGATCTCCCGTGTAGTTTGAGAACGCCAAAGTCCCTGTAACTGATCAGAAGATTTCAGATGTCAAGGCAATGATTCCTTTGCTGGAGACGGCAACTCAATTAAGCGTCCCCTTGCTAATTATTGCAGAGGATATCTCAAGGCAAGTGCTGGAAAGTAGAAACACTTGTTGTGAACAAAATGCAAGGCTTGCTGAATGTAGCTTTCGTGCAATTTCCAGGATCCGGAGAAGGAAAGAAAGGTGTCTTGTGGGACATTGCTTTATTCACAGGTGAACTTGTAAAGTGCGGCTACATTTTTTAGTGTGCTGTCTTAAGTTACTTCAAGAAGCA